GACTTTCAGATAAAGAAATTCCCAGAAGGACTGAAGAATAGTCTTAAAAAAAAAAAAAAAAGACACTAAAAAGAAGCGATGAAATTTCACGCAAAATATTTCAAAGATCCTGAATTTATCAGTTTCCTTTTTTACTTTTATGAATAAGATACCAATTCTTTTTTTTTTTTCTTTTTTAATTTATTGCCTTCCTTTTTCCATTCATGAATGAGTCATTAAATTTCTATTCTTCTCTATATATTTTTACAAATAAATTACCAATCACATCTAAAATAATATCAAACTTTAATTTACAATCTAATAAATATCTTCGATCATTTATATATTTTTCACTTTTCTCAAAAGTAATAAGAGAATAATAAATAGATAATGGTGGTTTTTCTCAGGTATTCGTGCAACGAATTTCTCACGGCTGGCGCCGATGAATTGAACACACCGCAGACCAGTGTCACACGATGCGCGAGAAGATTACTGGAGAAAGTTCCTTGTATCTTTGCTACGAATTCGCCAACACCTTCCTCACCCACGTAGTGTAAACTCGGTTATCAAAACGGAAAATTTAGAAAAATCAGTGGACCATTGTCGACAAGATTCATGTACTTTTATTGTAAGAAAAATCGGCTCTGCTCCATCCAGATGCAAGCAAGAAATCGCGTGGAGACTTAGCACATATCTCGCCGCGATAGCGTTTATACGAGGATTCAAATGACATTCAGCTGACAGGCGGTTTTGTCATACGATCCAGCCGAGAAAAATATTTATGGATAAAAATATTTTCTTCGCGCATCGTGGGACAATGCATCCTTTTTCTCGTAGAAGATCGAATTCTATCTATCTTTCTTTAGAAACGTTTATGAAACGTAATTTTCTCTCCGCGATGTTTCGCCTGCATCATTTCTTCTTGTAGATAGATTTTGTCGAAGTTTGTCCCTTTTCTTTTTTTTTTTGCACCGTGATTGTGAAAAGAAATTTGAAAAGTTTGGGAAACATTTTTGGCTATCATTTCTTTTCGTATCTTCGAAGAAGATTTCAAGAATTCCAAATTCAGAATTATGAATCTAGTATATAATTTGGAGTAAATTATTATCGATACTGTAATCAACGATTTAATCACGATTAATTGGAACAGATTATTACAGATATTATTCATGTGAAGAAATTCGAAGAATTATTGGACATGGCGAGCGTTTAACGAGAGTGTTCATCACGGGCGATATCCTTGTCCTGGGTAAAGTTCAGTGACGCAACAAGAGGAATCGGAATACGTTTATAACCGCCACGAATCCAATCCTGGCAGATCACGAGTTACCGAACCACACGAGCTACCAGCTGAATCCTTTTCGGGAAAAGGTTGAAGGTCACGTGGAAAGAGCGTATTATAGCCATTACGTAAACGAACTTATAACTCGGCCTGCGACGTCTTGGACCGTAAATAAGAGGCGAGGGATCGTGGAGAAACGAGGCGAGGAAAAAAAGAAGAAGGGAAAAAGTATACGAAAAGAAGAGGCGACCGATTATTTATCACGTTTTCTTGCACGAAAGAGCAATGGATCATCTCGTGAAATTTATTGGTCCAGCCAGATCAGTGGTTGAGCAATCGAAATGCTCGATCTATCGATGTGAAAATAATTATTCGTGAGGAATTCGTCCGTGTTGTGTCATCGAAACGAAAGTGTTACGTAAAAATTTCTTTTTAGACACGGCCGAGCATTTGTCTAATTGATATTTTCGATCGATCTCTGTCGAGAATTTTATATCGTGTTTGCATTGTTATTAAGAAATTTTATTATCTATCGTTAATGGTGGAAGAATTTAATATCATCGAATCGATGGTAAATTAATTGGAAAAGGAATAGCATACCTCGATTTATGCGTTATGTTGATCGTTTCGTATTCACATTGCAAAATCATCGAAGTTGTCACACGACATTTCGACGTTGTAATTCTCGAAGGGTATGTAATGGTAACTTTATCGACGATGATCTAACATTAATTTTTTAACACGACAGCGATCGCCGATCTGGCAATCTCGAATCGAATTTCTATTTTTAATACATCTTTGTATATTAATTAGTCGTTTCCAATAATGATTCCGATAAAATTCTTTTCAAAAGTAAGTAAAAATTCGAGTTATAATTAAATAAAGAAAGATTCAGAAAATTTATCTCGAGACTCTTTAGTGACATTTTATTTTCCCATCTTTTTTCTTCCCTCATCAGTTAAGCTCAATTTACAATGCGAATGTAGAATGTAATAATAGTAATAATCGTACGATTCTACTCTTTTTCAGTTAATGGCCACACACCTTAGCAATTCCTGATACCAATGACTTCATAATCGAGCAAAATCCAACACCCACCCTTTTTAACTAAATCTCTCGGATGATGCTCGAGGAAAGGAATTCAAGTTTCCAAACACAAGCATCTTTCAAGGTTGTATCACATAGAGAACATGGACAAGACATTAATTATCCACGGAGGCATTAAATCTTAAACATTAGATTATCGTTGGAGCGTGAAGAAATCAATCAATAATGGAAGAATATTGATCGAGTCTTATAAAGAATTTATTTCCTGTCTATTTTAATTATCGATTATCCGGGTAAAAATTATCTTTATCATTGCTACATTAAGTATCGAATCTTTTTAGAGAATTTCTAGCATTCAAATTTCAAGAAAAAAATTTTGGAGAAACAATTTTCTCCAATTAATAAAATTATTTGGAAAATCTTTGAGGGTTGTAATTATTCACGATATATTCACAGTGGAAAAAATTCCTTTCCAGAGAAGAATTATATTCTCAGATATATATCCGCCCTTCTAATTTTTCAGAGAATGTAAGAGTACGAATTTTCTCGTCTCTGGAGCGATTCTACTCGAAAAGAAGAAAAATGGCACAATGCTGCAATGTTGCAAAATTGCGAACGGTGCAGTTCCGAGACGTAAGGGATTCGTTGCCATAGATCATAAGCATGGAATTGCATTAAACTTGCGATATCCAGAGGAAATTCAGGCAAGAACCCGCGGAAACCGGGAGCGCAGGTGGAAACGTCTCTAGGCGTGGGAACGGAAAATGCAACCAGTAGATTCACTATGCAATACCCATTAGATAAGGAACGAACAAACAGTTGAAACGGACAATGAGGGCAGAAAAACTATTCCCTGGGAGGAAATGTCAGTTCTATAAAAGATCACCTGATTACTTATTACCAACCATTGTTCGTCATCGCTTATAATAAATGTCAGCTTCGACGCATTGCTATGATTAGATCCACGGGTAAAATCTCGATGGCTGAAAAGAAGAAAAAAAAAGAGAGAGAGAAAGAGAGAGAGAGAGTGAAATCGACGAACGCAACGAATCATTTTGACTCGTCATTTGATTCGATAAAATCGATGAATTTTAATTCGTTTTTACGCCTATCTTAAAACGGTTATTAAATAATTTGAGTAGCCTATTTCGAAATAGATCACGTCGGTAAATGAATGTTAATCGGAATTCTTATCGCGCTAATCTGAAGATCACAATCGCATCTAAAGTGTACGTCATGCACTTTCTTAGTTTATTAGCCTATTAATGTTTCGCGAGTAATGTTACGCGAGTGGTTACGATCGGTCTCGCGTTGCAGTTCAACGGTTGAAAGGATTTTCGCAAGCTAATATATTTTTATTGTCGGTCGTAAGCCACTTCGAGAAGTTATGGAGAAGAGCGTATGGTTCGGCGTAGATATTTTTCAGAAGCGGTTGGAAAAATTGTGAAATCGACGATTGTGATCTGTGGATGATTGCGAAACTGCGATCGAGCTATATTCTGAAATTTTTCACACGGATGGAAATGATTCGATGAACGAACGATTCGATGGTTGTGTATTTGATGAGTTGGTTGCCGGAGTTTCCATGATCTCGTTCGGAAGGGAAGAAAAATGGCGGGTGAAATCTTGTTTTCGCGCGAGGATCGCGTTAATTGGAAAAATCCGTAGGTTCCGTAATCGCGATGGACTAATTATTGATCTTTCATCCTGATTAAAGAAGAGGAAGAAGAGATTCTCAAGTGGATGTATCACGTTGTGACATCATTGAGCGGAAAAGTTGTGCGGATAGCAATCGTTCAATGGACGAGCCAATTTCAATCGAGTGATTAAACCTGTTTCATCGTGAATAATATATAATTGGTAAGTCAACTATGATTATTTGATATTTAGAAGCTTAATAATTTCCTTTTCTTCTTAGGTAAAAGTAATGCGTATTCTTTTCCCAAATATGAAATAAACACGAATATATTTAAGAGAAATTGATATTTTGAAAACTTTTTTATATTTAAAAAAAATTAATTTCTCATCTTTCTCAACAACGTTCTTTTATTTGTCAAATCATGTGATGTAATTCGAATCAAAAAAGAAACTTCATGTTGCATCATCGATTCGAAGTTTCCAATGATACACGAATCGAATATTTCGATGGCATATTTTTTTTTTTTCTTTTTTTTTACGACAGAATTACGATGTTGACCTTTCGTAAACAAAAATTTCTATTCGTTACATGATCACGAGGGTATCATCTTTATCCAAACATGCCGTGCGCAAGAGGTACCATTACACGATCATCACTATTAAAATCAATTTAAGTAATCGTAGCTCGATGAAAGAGAATCTTCTTCGAACAGGTTGGATAAAATATTTACATATACAACGAATTTTTCCATATTTTCTTTGAGTACGTTGCATCATTATAATATCATGCGATTATAGGAAAGTAATTTTTAATTCGATTAGAATTTAACATTTTGCAGGAATGCTCGAACTTTTTTCAAGCGTGTTGTAAAGAAAGCTTTATAAAATTTATGCAATATAATATAGAGAAAATAACGTCTCTGATCTCAAATATAAAATTTTACAGAAATTCTCGCCTATTTTTCTCTCAAACTTACTGAGACCTCAAATCCCTTTTGCCTCACTTTGCACAAAGGAGTCTAACCAACGCAGCCCCATTTTCCACGAATTTTCCCTTATCGTCTTATCGACGGCGATGGCAACGATTGGGATGGACGGTTGGGAAACGGAGGCTGCACAAGGAGGCGGATTTCGAATAAACAATGATAACCTTTGGTATTTCGCGCGGCAACAGCTGGCTGACGCTTCCATCTCGCTATTAATTCTCTCTTGCAAGCCTGTGCACGCGGTCGTGCGTGCAAATACCAAGCTCGCCGGTGTAAAATCGATGTTTTGCCGAACAGACGAGAGTGGCAGCTTTCAAAAATTTCACAATCGAGATACACGTCTTCGAGATATGGCTAACATCGTCCCTTTTACAGGTCGAAGAAAAAAGAACGCGCGATCGAGGCGATTCGGGACTCTCCAAAAAATTCGCTTGGACGCGAACAGAGAAATTCTTTAATTCTCGAGAAACGAGCTCTCTGTGGAACGAAGAAACGACAATTCGTTTAACAAACAGTTGAGTATCAACGCGTAGATTCTCGAATATGCGAATCCTAGAAAGAAGATCGGATTCCTCCGATCCCAGAAGAGCACACAATTTCGGCACACAATGCAATTTTCTTGCACCCTTTTAAGAAACATTACACAACAATCGTATAAACCCCGTCAGAAACACTTTCACCACTATAATAGTTTCCATTCTACTTGTATCTTTATATATTAATTTTTCTTTTTCACTCGATATACCCTGATATAAAATCGATATTTCCCGCACTATCATCTACCGTCCGGATCCACCTTGCGACAGTTTCGGATCTCTTTCACCCTCCGACCAATCAACCTTCCCTTTCAACGCCCACACGTTTTTTTTTCTCTTTTCTTTCTTTCTTTCTTTCACTTGTCCCTTGTTGCTGGCACTTTACTTACCATCTTCCGTGATCGCGATCTAATTTTTTTTCGGCCCCTTGTTATCTTAACCGAAAGAAAAAAAAAAAAAAAAAAAAAAAAAAAAAAACTTGGTCACCGAGTAAACAAGGGCGTCACACACTCAACACGGGCACATCGTCTCCGCGGGTGCGCTTCGTGGTCCCGGGAGAGGTGACTTCTTCGTCTCGAGGAACGTGGAGAGCATTTATAGGATTCACCCGATTGGCTGGTGGGGGTAAAACGTTCGGTCCATGCGATTATTGCGAGCCGACGTCCACCGGGAGGATGCTGTAACTCTTCGTCTTGTTCGTGAGACGAGGTGGAACGGCGAGGTGCAAAGGAGAAGGAAAGATCGGTATGGCTAGCGTATGGGGGCGAGAGAGATGGTTGAAGGGTGGAAGGGAGAGAAAGAGAGACAGGGAAGGAGAAAGTGAGAGTGGTTGGCTAGCGAGAAGGACGAGACGATGTACAACATTGTCTGAAAAGGTCCGAAGTCGCGTTCGAAGATCCTCGTGGACGTGTTCTCGCCTATCGAAGGACGTTCGTCCTGAATCCTCGTTCCACGGAACAATGGTTGTACGACGAGGTATGATTTCAAAGCCTTGGAGGATCGAATCGAAGGATGGGATAAAAATGGAAAATCGTCGCGCCCTTTGCGGGCAGCGATTAAAGGGAGATGGATCAGAGAAGAATTGTCACGAGAGAATTGTGTAACTTTGCTTCGTTTCGATTATAGGATGAGGTGATTGGTGATCAAAGAGGAATTCTCGCGGACTCGTAGGTTGGTTGGGTACATCGATGGTATTTGGAATTAATGGTATCGACTCATTTAAGGTGAAATTTATGGCGGTTCGGGACGAACGCTTCTATTAGGAGTATGCTTGGTCATGATATTTCGAGCAAGTTGGATCTATAATATTCTTGTCCGATTTATGTTTCATTATTCCGTAATATTCTGCTCGATTGAATTATCGAATTAACTAGTTAATTGGACGGTCAACATGTCACTTACAACATGTTGCTCCTTTCGACTCACTGTTTTCAACTCAAAACATTCATTATGAATTCATCGATCACTGACATTTAATAAGAATCTTATTCATAGCCACGCTTGAAGTCGTTCTCCGCGATCGGTTTTAAAATTCGCAAAAATAAAAAAATAAAAAAAAAAGAAGAAGAAGAAGAAGAAGAAGAAGAAGTAGAAGAAGAAGAAGAAGAAAAAAAGAAGCTCATTAAAACGCTCGTAGAAAGTAGACACGTAATATTCCGTAATCACATAATACACCTAGTGAAACTGCGTAACACGTAATTAAGTTGCGAGCGGACAGCGCATCGATATGCCGAAGACGCTTCACCCCGCGCTCTTGTCATTTATTCCTCTAAAATTCTTTTCTTGCCTAATTATTTATATACCGATTTTCATAGCCATAAAACCCGGTATACCGCGTATTATCTGAATAATTTAACGTAATTATCCGGTGGAAGATATTGAAGAAGGATCTCTTGTTCTCGCGTAGAGGGTGCGAGCATAAATGCCGCCATAATTATACGGTAATAAATTATCCGCACAACGTTCTTTCTTCTTTCTTTTCAGGAATTATAGCCAATATTATAGGAATAATTGATCCTAATCCTGGCTAGGAAAATGGATAATAGGATCATTAGCTATATCGCAGAAGATATTATAGATCATTGAAATAAATCATCATAATCATTGTCACTATTTGTATTAATGAAGATGTATAATTTTGGAATCCATCACAAACGATCATCGAAAAATCTCGAACCCATCTCAGCTTATCCATTTATTTCTCGATATTGTAATATTTTGAATTAGATCACTTTGGAAGATTTCGATGACATCAATTCTTTGAATATCCACTGCTACATTTGTTCCAATAATTTCTACCATTCGTGCGCGTGTGCGTGCTTTTATCGATCATAATTCCGCGAAAACAATTTCTAAAATAGATGGTTTATAGGGAAATCGTTGCTTTACGCAACATTTCACTTGTATCACTATCATCGAGATCCATGCAGATTTCCATACAGGTTAAGAACCTCGGACACAATGATGCTCGACGATCGGCCATAATCACCGCGAACATTTATGTGAGTCCACCGTCTCTTGTGTGCTCACGTGCTATTTACACCTGCATCGTTTACCGATGTCGCCATTCCGTGTTACCGTAACAAAGACGTTCGAATAGTGGAACAGGCATCTCGGATTAATTGGATTTAAGTACATCTGATTTGGCTCTAATTTATTCTAATCGGAGGGTGAATATACAATACAATTTTATTTATGGTAGAGTCTGTTAGCCTCATGTTAGAAAGAATCAATTGTGGTCAACATCGATGTGTTTTCTCGAAATTTTATATATATCTTGATCAAATTAGAATATTATTTTAATTAGAATATTAATTTCACGTAAGATTAACATCGTGGCAATTAGTGTGTCTTCTTGAAATTTTTTTATATTTTGATCAAATTCCATTAGAATATTAATTTCGTAAGATTAATTTACGATTTTTTCAATCTTGCATAAATAATAATCTTTTTGATATTGATTCTTTTCTTTTCTTTTTTTCTCGAAGTCATGAGTCGAAGAGATTTAAATAAAAATAGCTTTAGACGAATTTAAAAATAATTTGAAGATAATTCGTTTATATTGTACGATCAAGAATATGTTTAAGTTATTAATAAAATTGATTATTGCCACTTAAAATCCATTCGTTCGGTTTCTGTTAAGCAAGCAAGCAGCTCGTTCGACATTTCGTTCCTCGTCGATCATAAAATGTTGCGCATGAAAGATTTTCTCCGATCCTTGGGAAAATCTGAAAATACAAGCCTATGTCTATCTGCATATCTACCGAACCATCAAAAAGCTTTAATTAAAATAATTTAATTAATTTCTCGTACGCAATTGCGAGATTTCAATTCTATTTGACGTAAAAACTCAGAAAGGGTGGAAAAAATGGTGCAAGAATATTTCGTAATATTTTTTCATCATCAAATTACATAAGGAATAATATTCGATATAAAAAAAAAAGAAAATGTTAACAAATATCCAAGATTCTGTATTGAAAATTTTTTTATCTTAATAATCGTGAAATAATTTCAATTAAAATCCAGTTTCGTCCAATTGGAATGAATAATAAGGATGATAGAAGATTGAAGATCTTCTCAGATTTTTATTCCTTATTGAAATTTTCTTCGAACATTCCTCTACGATTTAGGCTTCGTGACTTCGTTTCTCCGTTCGGTCTGGAATATTAAACTGAACTTTACATTAAATTACTAACAAGAACAGTAATCACTGGTAAATGTTTCCACTATTATCATCCATATTTCTTCATTATTGCGCTAACTTGTTGCACAAATGGCAACTGAATTCCCACGATTATGACAGTGAAATATTAGATCGCGGGAGGATTAAGACGTTTTTGAGTAGAACAAATCGAAATTTTAAATTTTAAATTAATTTTAATTTTCTCGTGTTCTCAATATTTGAAAATTATTCCACTATGATTCTTCTTTTAAACAGTGTATATCTAATATATAATTTAAAATAATTTATTCGAAATTGTATTAAAAATATTTATTTTCATTCATTTGGATTCATTATTTATCACTTTTATTTTCTTTATTTTTTATAAAAAAATATTAATCGCAAAGAAAATTCTCATATTATTATACGCTTTGTAGGAAAAAAAATCTCTATACAATCGGCAAATATTCTCTCTTCATACACGGAAGCAACAAAGATTAGAAAGAAATTATAATTAAATATAATAATTATCCTTTCGGATAGTAAAGCGTTGACAAAGCGTCATGATTTCCATGTATGAATGAAGCTTCTTTTTTTCCATACGGCTAACCTTTCTCTTAGTATTATATAGTATTGCTTTTCAACTGAATGAAGAGGCTAAGTCTACCATAAGGAAAGATCGTAATCACAGCTGTTTTCGATCTTCGATCATTTTCTTATGGGTAACATCATCGTCAGCTGCAATATCTGGATAAAATTATAATCCAATACAGAACATTGAATTAATCGTTATTTTTTTACAATTGAAAATTACAGTCCAATCTTTTGTTGAAACAAAATTTTTATTTCTCAAGCATTGTGTGGCATTGTATATAATTTATAATTATAGTCTTTTTCTTTGGTGTTATGTCAAGTGATTTATGGCATGTCTATAATCTTAGTTATGAATAAAGAAAATTATGATAAAGATATACACGAAGAGGAGATAATTCTTTTGAGAATTTTATTTTTTTACGCAAGACGCGAAAGTGTGAGTAATATATAACATTAGCATGGAATTAACCTCCATATCTTCGAATTTTTAATGAAGAAAAAATGGCTCAAAAAAGAAGAGAAAAAAAGAATATGAGAATAAGAATATGAATACGAGAAGTGCGAAATTTTTATTTAAAGAATTTAGGTTTTTTTTTTAAAAATTTTGATTCACTGTAAAAATATAAGTAAATATTTATGAAATGAATCAGAGGAGATTTATCATTGAATATTTAGATACAGGAAAAACATTTTGTTATTTCGAAATAATCATTATTTCAATGTAAAATAAAATTTTAATATCTAAATTTAAACGACAATCTTCAAATTTCAATTTTTATCATGTCATTGAATTCTCAACGTATCAAGGCAAACCTGAAGTGTCGTAAGTGATCACAAACGATTTCATAAGATATATATGATAGTAAAAAGATTATGCAATGTTTTTTTCACTTTTAATTCCTCTTCCTTTTTTTCGAATTAAATAATCGTAAATTCATCATTCCCTATTAGATTTTTGCTTTTTCCTTCATCCGTACGATCCGAATCCTTCAATTTAAATGAATAAAAATTTACAATTTGACATATTGGCATTTAAGATACATTAAAAAATTTTTTCGAGCCTCTCAGCTTGAATCTTGCTCGTTATTTTAAAGTTTCATCCATTCCAAACGATGACCTCGACAATCTCATTAAAATTTTACGAAGATAGAGAATATAAATTTCTCTAGTTTTTGCTAACAACGATCGACTAATTCTTTTTTCTTTCTTTCTCATCCTAAGAATACCCGGATATATAGAATGGAATGTTGATATTAAGAGAGATCAAAAATATAATTAATTCATTTTAAACGAAGTAATATAAAGACATAAATATGAAAAGACAAATATCTGCTTTATAAGGAAGTAAATTGTCACTGAAGAAATTTTGCAGGTTGTTAAAGTCACACCTAAAACCTATTGCGGTTTACTCGCGGCAAAGTAAAAGTATGGACGACCTGAAAAGTCATGGATGACCTCTACATCTGCACATACGGATCACCGCAGATGCATTCTCTCTTAATCGCAATGTTGCCTAATTAAACGGGAATACACGTATTCAGAAACAAAAATTTCATCAATCTCTATTATTTCAATATCTTTCAATATTAAGATTAAATCTGTTTGCGAAAATTTTACTTATTGAATGCAACATATCGTTTAAAGATATGTTTCTCGATAAGATTGAATCGAGTTTAATGAAGCGTAAAGGATTTAATAACATCGTTGTGGTGTATTATCGATGGTATGGTGATTTTTTTGAAAAGAGGAATAAAAAATTTTTCTCTCATTTTAACGATTGAACGGGGACGATGATATTTCGATAACTTTAGAGATGAGATATAACTATGATTCGTTTCGTTGTGCAATTGAAGACGTTGAAGATTTCTAAGCCACGAACAGATCTAACAAGTCTAACCTTGAAAACAAATGTAAAAGTATCGACAATTGTCAAATTTTGGTAAAATATAAATGTAAAATATCATTTATGAAATTACAAAATTAAAAATTAATAAATTTGGACGTCTATTTGAAAAATCTGTATAAAATTCTAACAGGAATCAATCTGAATTTTTTTATAATCACGATTCATATTGGATTCATTAATAAGAATATTTATATGCTTTATTATGTTATTATGTTACATTTAACATAATAATTTAATAAACTTTATTATATTACATACTTTATTAAATTATATACGGGCATTTAATAATTTTCTATTATTTTTCGTAATTTTTTCCATTTCAGTTTTTTCAAAACACGATCATTTATCGTTCACGCTATTCATCGAAACATTAACGAGCAGATTTTACTTTCGAAACTCTGATTTATTCGTAAATATTATTATATTATATATTATTTCTATTAAGTCAAGTTTAATTTATTACAATAATATTATCGTTCGTTTCGTACGTCTCATTTGCTTCGAGACAAGTTTGTTGTTACATTCTACTGTTTCTGTTTATAATACGAGATAATCGTATCTCGTATTCAGTTGAGATCGACAATTACTAAAGGTTAGACACGAAGAGCTCTAAAATTTCAGATAATTTTAATTTATATAAAATTCTAATCTAACTCGATTATTTTTAGATGGATCATCTTTGAAACTAATTTTTTCAAAAGGTATTAGTACTTTTTCACAGTTTTTTACGCAGTGTATATCTTGACATTTCCAATACACATTAGATTTTTATATATAATAACTTTAATATCTAATCTATGGTACGTATGTAATAAAATGTTAAAATTAATTATTAAAATCTTGAAATGGAATATATAAATATTATTTTATTAAATTTAATGGTCTTTATTCAGTTTTTAATTTATTTATCGGATATTGTTTGATTTTTATCCTTAGACATTTCTTGAATCAAAAATAAATTTCTTGGAGGACTCTTCGATCGAGATATATTTTTAAAAAATCCATTCACTTAGTGTTAGAAAGCGATATTATATAGATGAAGCGACTAAAAATATTTTCATATCATAATAATTCATTCTCATATAAAATGGTACATCAGATATTAATTGATTTTAGCATTGAGTGTGTTTATATATAAAATTAATTATCATTCTTTTAAACGGTTTCGATATTTTATGTAAATTAATCGAAACAAAAATTATACTTGGATAACAAAAAAAATATTAAAATTTGATAATCCCCCTTCATTAAAATTAAAAATCTCTCTTTCGAGAAATAGAGAGATTAAAATTGCTCATTCGATATCTCTGAAACGAATTAATCGAAAATGGAATTTACGCATATGAATATCTCATTAACTTCTAATTTTTGAAACAAAGATATTCAATAAAAAAATCTGTATATTTTATTTATAATGGTTTTAAAATATGATTGGTAATTACATTAATTTGATTTCTGATTTAGAATCAATAAAAAAAAAAAGGGACAACATTTTTGTTTTCTTCTCGTATGTCACATTCATTAATGCATTTTCGTAATTTATCATGGATTCATGATTCAATATTATGAAACTGCATGGAAATATTGTCTTGAATTTAATATTCCCAGTCACGCAATGTTACGTTATGCATTCGTTTAATTTCAATATCGTTGAATATATTTTTATATGAACTTGTAAAGAATTTTTTAATATTTAATAAACGTTCATTGGTACATTTCGAGATGCGAGAAATTATTGATTGTTTCTTGAAGTTTTTTATTACTTGATTTTTTTTTATATATATTATTTTAAATGAATAAAATTTTCAGAGAAAGTATAAAAAAAACAAAAATCGAGAAGAAGAAAATATTTAAAGATTCTTTTAGAAAGCGAGCTTTTAAAAAGAAATTTCATCATTGCTATTCCCAAAAAATATATAACAGAATAGGTTTATAATGAGAAGATATCTTAAACACGATACTTCCATTAAAATCTAAATTTTATTGATTTGCATCTGTTCAACGAAGATATAAAAATTGAATCAAATATAATTCAAGTTTTCTTGGATAAAAAAAAAAACATCATCGATTTGATATTATATAATAATACGACGAGAATAATTATCATTCGAGTATATGGAATGAAAAAAATTTCGAGAATATCGTGAAAGTATATGGATATCTTTTTACAGTTCTTCTCTTAAGAAAGATTTCGATAGAGCAGAGTCGATAAATCTAAAAATTAGGATAGAGATGTAAATATATCTTCTTTGGGTATATCGCAGTATCCAAACGATCGCCTTTTCGATTAATAATGATAGAATCCATGACCATAACCATACCCAGGGAAGCCTAAATAGAAAAGTAAATTAAGATAAATAACATCGATGAATGTTTTGTCTAATGATCCATATCTTCTATTTCTCGTGTGCAACGTCGATGAATATTTTTGTCCATTTTAGAATTTATAATAGATTAAAAATTTATAAAATTTTTCAGCGCATTTAATAATAATATAAAATTTCACATAATTTATTACGTCTGATAGAAGAAAGAGAACAAGTGAAAAAGTTTTGCAAAAAATTCATTGACGTTGAAAGCACTTTTCTATATTATCTCATGCATTGTATTCCCTTACCGTATCCATAATGCCCGTAACCGTGTCCGTATCCATAGAACGGATATCTGTAAATGTAAGGATAATATCCGTATCCACCGTATCCACCGAGGTATCCTGGTTTAGCAGAAACGATGCCAATGATGACAGCCAGCAACAGGATCGTGTACTAAAAAAAAGAACATATACCCAATCCTCAAAATACGCATAAATAAATAACAAATCGCTTCACACGTATCTTGAAAAAATTCCATTTTCTCTATCTTTTTTTCCAATGATGTGGAAAAGATCGATCATCGAAATCGGAAAATGAAATATTTAAATAAAAGTGAAACATTGGAAGCATAAGAGCAATAAATTAATGAGGGATGAAACTCAAAACATTTTCTTCTTTCTTACTTTCTTTTTTTTTTTTTTTAATCATTACTTACAAGTTTCAAGCAAGCCATTATCCGTCAGCTGACACTAGCCAGTTAACTCCTCCTATGAATTGCACTAATTTTTCCCCTATCTGTCAACAGAGTACCACTGTCTGTCCAACGTTGGTCTCCGTTTCTTTTATAACAAAGGCGGCGTGTTCCGCCACAGCCCCCACACTAATTTTTCCCAGCCTTCGTATTGGCTTTCCTCCGTTAACACTAATAGCAAAGACTGGCATTGTTACTCTGGGATTATGCGAATGCAATACGTCATTATGAAAGGAACACCGATGCAACATCCATTTCGGATTGGTCATCGTTTGTGTTCACGTGCTGTGAACCGGCGACCGCCTTGACATCCAAATTCGTAATCCACGAGAATCCACGATTTTTCGTCTGAGAAACCTTTTCCCCAATTCCATTATACCTGGAAAAGAAAAACAATGTATCGTCATTTCCATTTGCATCGTCCGATTCCGGTTTCCGTGACAATTTTAATTAGCATCTGTTACCATTTCAAACACATTCCTCGTTTGGAGAATTTCTTCCTCGTTTGGAGAAATTTCACGGATTCGAGGAGTGATGAATAGTGAACGTACTTGGATCATACTTGAAATTACCATTTTAATTTCAACTTCGAACGGTAAGAATCCTCTTTTCCTTTCTCAATTGCAGAATTTCACGGTCTACTATTTCGTGATCGATATATCATTACATTATTAAGTAGATCGACATATGTACTTCTTGGAGTGACTTTGAAAAGAAAGTAAGATGGACAGAATCGTTTCAATGGATCGATGATTAATACTGGACACAACTATTATCAAAAGCATACGATTTTACTTTACTATTCAGAATGACATTTACATTTTCAATTTGCATCAAATATCATTCCACGTTAGAATTTCTGTGGAAAAATTATTTTCTCCAATTTAATTAATTAATACAGTATAAAATATTTGTTCACATAATACAGAAAATATATCGCATATATAATACATTTTCAAAATATAAAAATTCAACGATGATATCGTTCACATGAAACAAAAGTTCTCCACTCGTCACGAAAAAAAAGAAAAGAAAACAGGATCGAAGAGAATTTTCAACGAATGTTATTAAGTCGAACAATTTAATTATCGTCGGAGCGAGGACAATGCGTGCACGAATGCACGATTCAATGAAAGGAGATGCAATCGTGATCGGGACAGAAGGAAGAAAAGTCGTGTGGTTGCGTAACAGGAGCATGGAAAGGAGGGGGTCGTTACAAAATGGTGAAATTACACGGTACAGGTTGCGGGACGAAATCGTGAAAAAAGAAAAAGGAAAAAAAAGAAAAAAGAAAAAGAAGAAAAGATGATTGCAACATCATTGGGATCATGGAAAGGATGCGTTTGTCATTAATTGCAGTTAATGTGCGATGCTTGTAAACTGCTCGTCGAGTGTTATGTTACCCAACGAGATCGTCGTTGAGACGAAAATATTCGCACGGATATCCATTTTTCAAGTTTTTTCCCTTTCTTTTTTGTCGATGAATCATTTTGATCATGAAAAAAAAGCTTCGTTTCCCAATCTTTTTCTGAGACGATATGTTATATGTTAAATAGCCAGAATTTAAATTTTTATAATATAGTCAATCAATATGCAACACCAATTAATTTAAAAAATATATATATATATCTTGATTAATAAAGCGTACGTGTAATATCTTATTTTTAAAACTGAGACCAGGTAAGGGAATTAAAAAATTAGATATTAAAAATCAGATATCGTACGATCACAATGCACGATATTCTTTTCTTTTAATATCATTTGTTGTACATTGAAATGAACAAGTATTGAGAATTTTTTTAATTATGGAGTATGTAATATAAATTAATTACGATAAATGTAATTATTTATATCATAATTCGTATGGACTAAATTAGAATTTCAATTTCGAATAAGTAAATTATGATGTAGGGTATAAATTATTCATCGATGATTCGAATAAAATACGCAGAACCATCTTTAATAAAATAATGACGCAATTGAATCACACGATGAATAATTATTTTATCTTCTTGATAAGAATTGCACGATTCTAATTATCTTCTCATTTTTTTTTCTTTTTTATCATATGCAATTAAATATACTTTGTAACACTTAGTATTCCTATGCATTTTAATATTTGTTCGCAGTTTGTAATTTATACTATCGTATAATTGTATGATAATTTTGCATATAAATTGTAATTAGTGATGGCACGAAGTGAACTCAACTTTTCATCAATAGTTCGAAAAAAGAAAATAATAATAATAACACTTTTAATTCTAACTTCATTACATTTCCAAATTGATTCGAAACATTTACGAATGGTATATTTTATAATATAACTTTCTTTTTATAATATCGAAGTCGAGTGAA